GTTGTCAATAAAAAAACTCCAGCATACTGATCACTTGTTTCTCTGTGTAGCATGTTTTACCCTTTTGTTCACTATAAACAAAATATGCCTTATGGTATCCCAAAGTAATGAATGTATAGCGTATGCTACCATTTTTATGTTGAAAAGCAACGGGATTATTCCTTTTAGACGATTTTTCTATTTCACATGGGGAATTGTGGTATACAAGGTTGAAAAATCAAAAGTTTTGATAAAACTAATTTCAGAAAAAGACCAAGATTTAAAATTATCCAGAAGTTCTCGAGAGTATTTAAGAATTCACATATGGTTAATACCACTACGCGAGTAAACAGTTTCACAGTATTTCTGAAGACCCTCTTTCACTGCGGACAGAATTTTTGTCAATCTAATGGACAATTCTTTAGTGGAACATGCAGATCAGCCGGCAATGTACCGTTATTTGTACGGATTTTGTGAAGTTTAGGTATCCAATACATACAAGGTTAGTCCTCCGATTTGTTGTTGAATGCAATGATCATTGAAGCCATGAAGGACTAATGATTCGCCAAAATCTCATCCTTATCATATGATGTTTTTGTATGTGGGATTACCTGAGTGCTAATTTATTCCTAATTATTTTACAAGACACTCGTAGTAATACGATTTACAAACAAATCTAATGTTATTTGAATCTTGGTCCACAGGAACAACAACACTATACTAAAGAGTATAGTGTGTATTCATTCTCACTAACCATGCAACCTGAACGGTAAATTATCCAAAAGCCGACACTTGGAAAACAGGTCTTGATGGGAAATTGTTGTGAAATCAGAAGTTGATTTACGTTCACATTTTCATTACATTTATAACTATTTTACAAACAAATAAATAAAGATTAGAAAATTTAACAGTAAACATCCTTACTTCATCCAAAACAGATGAAGGAAAGTTACAAATGTTTGTTTGTTCAAAAGTAGAATTTTATGCTTTTTATTGCTATGTCTACCAACCATACATAAAAATCGTTGATAAATTTGACTTACTGAAAACTGAAAACATACTTGAAAGCAACAATCTAATACAAAGCGTATTATGACTCTTTCAGAAAGCAACATTTAGATGACCTTTATAGATAAGACTATTAGATAGTAATTAGTATTTATTTTTATTGTGTCACAGATATTTCCAGGGGGATCAAACTTCAAGCCTGTATTACAAACTTGCAAACACTGTTTAAAAATCCTCACCTTCAGATATAGTAATAACATTATAAATATGAGCAACGGTTTTACCTAAAAGATATTTTCCCCTTTGTCTTAATAATATCTGTCTTTTAGGTAAGGTTTTGGATGTTATCTTATTTATTACAAAATAAATAAAGAGTGACATTTAGATTAAATATATTCATTTCAAAAAACAAGTTACCTTTCTGAACTCAAGTGACTAGATAATGACTTAGGAATGCTGTTTTATAAAATATGCAAACAATTGAAAAACGTGAAAAATTGGAGTACTTTTGTAATTCAGGATCAAAACAATCGAAACCACCTTTTGTCACTTAGGATAACCGCGAAGTTTTTAAAAGTTTACAAATTAAAATACCTATTTAAGTTAAGCCGGAACATTGGAAGACAAAATAATTCATTAGCTGATTTCAATGACGTATTTGGAAGTTGTGGGATTGATTCCCTTCTTTAATAAACTTATATTTAGCGATTGTTTTTTTTTGGTCATTTTTCAGATCTGTTTTGTTCAGAAATACTTTACCCTTGGTAATGAAACTAGATACGATTTTGGTTGTACATATCAGGAGGTAATCATTATGTTCACAAAATAATTCGTAAAGTTTAATACGAGACATTTTCTTATGATCAATGATGATATGACGCATTGTTACAATGGGTAGTATAAAACTGACAATTTGAATAACTATTTGACAATTTTAACGAAAAACCCTGAATATATAGCCAAATAAAAATATTAGCTCTTAAACATGTTAAAAGGATGTAATTGATATTAAAAATTTCAAATGTAAAATTATTAGATAAGCAAACAAATTTTAATACCTGAATATCTTTAAATTTACCTTCACATTTCAACATGTTAAGTAGTAGTCCGCCTAAGAATCAGGCAGATACCACATAATTTTAGGAACATGAATTTGGTCAATCTGATGCATTATTTGTATATAAACAGTTATTCTCAACTACTTTCAGCTGACATAGTTAAAAAAGTGGTATATATTATAATTTGTCTATTTTAGCATGTCAGATTGTGCCCTAATGCCTTTAATAATGTACTATAAAAGTACTGAAATATATATTTTTCATTGAAGAAATACTTGAGAAAACAAATAGGAAACCTTAATATCTTTACAAATTAAGAAAAAAAAGTGTCATATGTTATTAAAACAATAACTGTTTCTGAGTGTTTTTGTCTCATTAGTACACATATTGTCCTTACAAAAAGACTGGACAATGCTAAAATATAGGTTAGAGTTATCTCCCATTACCCACAATGCAATAGATTTCAACAATGGCAGCCCCCATGGGCTCCTGCTCAATTGGATTTTTTGCCTCAACAAAGTGTGGAATATCATCACTGCACCCTTCACATACAACTTTATCAAGATAAAAGGACTGCCAGAGGAATATCCAAGCTCATTTGTTGAAAGTTGGATTGAATGCAGGTGTAACAGGAGTAGCAGACGTCACATACGAGGGGGAACTTATTTCAAAAAGAGTGGGTTTGTTCACTGTTGAGAGCGACTTCAGTGTTTGTCCATATCATAGAGATTTCCTTGGAATAAACTGGAGACAAAAGGCCTTGTGCCAATATCCAATTCATGAGGGAAAGGCCAAGCCTTATCGGAGCTTTACAACGGCCATGAGCAGACAAATGTTAGCCGACTTTTGTGTATTTGTGCCCATTGGCTCTGGTAAGTACAATGTACTTTATTTTGTTTGTATTCCAATTCATTAATTATATTGTCAAATATATACATGTTTGTTCATAACTGATACATTGAGTTTGTTTGGTAACAAACGATTGAAATCTTTAAACAGGTTCAGTATGTTGACATTTTCAAGGACACTTCTCCCTAAGTAACTGATAATATACATATATGTGTATTTTAAAACAAAGTACACATTTTTGTATTGACAAATTACCCCTACATGTACCTTAACATTCACTTTTTTGTTTGTATTAACATATGCCCCTACATGAACTTTATTTTTTGAAATCTGCCATGTCAAGTTGATATATGATAAAGTTGTGCATGCAGGTTCTGTAGAGGCATTTAAGACCGCCCTACAAGAACACCCATAAAAATGGGGCTCTTCTCCACTGTGTATAAAAGCCATAAGCCCATAACAGGATTCTACACATACCAATACAGATACAGATACCCTCCCCCTTTTTCCACCACAAACTGAACCCCCAAAAAATAAGTTTTACATTATATAACCACAGTTTTTTTTTTATAGGTGATGATCAAGTATTTTGAAAGGGGGACATAGCAAGTTAATGTTTTCACTTTTGATTGATACTTTTAAAAGTTTATGCATAAACATGATGAAGTTTATCATTTACTTTCAAATTTTCAAAAGTTCAGAATGTATCACCTCCTCTAAATATCCAAAATACATCTAAATATATACTTGTATAATATGAATGTTTCTTAAATTTAAGTTTTATATGTTTGTAAATATTGTTTATGCTTCTCTTGCAAATGTCTTGGTTTTGGGATTTTATACTAAAAAAAAAATTTAATTTGACTTAGACAATACATGATTTTTAAAATAAAGTATTTATTATTATAAGCTACATATTGGAACCCCCCTCCCCCAACTTAAATGCTTCCTATCAAAATTGATTTTGTCCCCATATTTAAGCTGAATATATAATCCATTATGACATAGACATATATATATATATATTCTTTATATGAATTTTATGCATTCTTTTTTCTTTTTCTTTCAAGGAATATGCAGAAAATGTAATGGAGAATACTTGAAAACATATACATCATGTACAGAAAAAAAGGTAACATAGTTTTATTACATATACCAATAGAAAACAAAATGTAGGTATAACTGCAAACGGTTTGGGTTTTCTTATACGGTATCTCCACTACCCGAGGGTTATGATTCTTTTTCTACACTTCATGTGAGGTGGATGATAATTCTGGTCTATGTAAATAAATTGCTAACGGAACCACCATTAAAATTGCATTGAATTTATCATTTATTTTTATACGACCGCAAAAAATGTTTTGGGATCGTATAATGGTATGATGTCGTCGTCGTCCGAAGACATATTGGTTTCCGGACAAAAACTTTAGTTTAAGTGAATGGATCTCTATGAAATTTTTTAAGAAGGTCCAATACCACAAAAGGAAGGTTGGGATTTATTGAACCATGTGAGCGAGAATAAAAAAAAAAAAAAGATGTTTATAATGACAAAAACTCTCAATCAGAAAATTAAGTAGCTTTAGGTCTGTCATTTTATTTTTGCTACCTATATACAAACATGATAAACTAGGCAGTTAGTCTTCTCAATTGAATAGTTTCATAATTTTTATGTCAGGGCCTTTCATAACAGACTATATGATATGGGTTGGTTGAAGGCCGTACAGTTGCCTGTAGTTGTTTCTATCCAATTCATTTAAACTTTGTTTGATATTTGTCTCATTAACAATTACATGTACCCGTATACCATATCTCATTAGTTTTTGTATGTACATGTATGTATATGAAATACAATATAAAGACGCAGATGTATGCCAGAATATTGTTTATGACATAGTATACAATAGACATGATAGAATACCAACATCTGCACCTTGAAATTTGCAGTAAAATATAATTTGCCATAATATTAAATGTTAGTAAGAATTGATTGCTTTTTTTCATATGATTTATTGTCTTCACTGTAATTTGTAAATTGTATCAATCAAAAATTAAATATAATCAATGATAAGCATTGTATTTTTTATGTAGGATATCAATGGCAATGGTATGGATATAAAGATTGATGATCCAAATGAAGACAAACCTTATGTTAATAAATTTGTAAGTATATTTTAGTGTGGCACACATACATATATCATGAATATTGTTCAGTATGGTGAAGTAGTAGGCAGGTGGGTGAGGGGAAACAGGGTAGATGATTTCTACAATTAAAGAAGAGCCAAATGATGTTACATGTGTATGAAGTTATAAAAGGTTGGTAAAAAATATATACAAAAGGAATATTCAAACTCATAAATTGAAAACAAACATATCATGAGGGAAAGATTTTTTTTTTGGAAGAGGGGGCAATTTTTTTTCTCAATTCAGATTTCAGAAATTAACAAATAAAATTTCTTCCAATATTTTTTTCTTGTTGGCAAAATAAAGGGTGAGGGGGGAGGGTGTAACACATTTATATTTTTGGAGAGGAGGGGGGTCAATACGCAACAGCATATAGTATTGCTTAAAAGCAAAAAAAGGGGGAGGGGGGTTCAATTCGCAACAGCATAGTGTATTGCACAAAAGCAAAATATTGAATATATAAATATAAATTCAAATCATATAACCAATTCTTAGTTCTTTGATTAAAGTTATTCTGTGTCAGAAACCTATTATTGTAAAATATTTAATTACAATCCAAATTCAGACATGTATTAAGCGTCGCCAGTAAAACTGCATTTGTGACAGTCAAATCGACAATTGACGGTGGCAACTCTTCAACTACAGTACTGTTATTCCTTCAGTGTGCTTATCAGTCTATATGATTGTGACCTCATTTTTTTGTTCGTTTTTCAATGTTAAGTTTAGTTTTTATACGACCGCAAAAAAATTTTGCGGTCGTATATTGGAATGACGTTGGCGTCGTCGTCGACCGAAGACACATTGGTTTTCGCACTCTTACTTGAGTTTAAGTGAATGGATCTCTATGAAATTTTACCATAAGGTTCAATACCACAAAAGAAAGGTTGGGATTGATTTTGGGGGTTATGGTACCAACAGTTAAGGAATTAGGGGCCAAAAATAAGCATTTGTGTAACTTCCAGACATAACTTGTTAGTGTATGGATCTCGCTGACATTGTACCACAAGGTTCCATATCACAAAGGGAATGCTGGGATTGATTTTGGGGGTAATTGCCCCAAACGTTTTGGAATTTGGGGCCAAAAAGGGGCCAAAAAACAAACATTTTTCTAGTTTCCAGACAATAAATTGTGTTCAAGTGTACGGATCTCTCTGAAATTGTACTGCAAGGTACCATACCTCCACATTTTAGGAATAAGGGGGAAAAAAGGGGCAACAAACAAGCATTTTTCTAGTTTTATGAAAATTACTTGTGTGTAAGTGTATGGATCTTTTTGAAATTGTACTACAAGGTTCCATATCACAAAGGAAAAAATGGAATTGAGTTTGGGGGTAATTGCCCGAAACGTTTTGGAATTTGGGGCCAAAAAGGGGCCAAAAAACAAGCATTTTTCTAGTTTCCAGACAATAACTTGTGTTCAAGTGTACGGATCTCTCTGAAATTGTACTGCAAGGTACCATACCCCAAAGGAAAGGTTGGGATTGAGTATTGGGGGGATGAATCATAAGGGGGTTCAAAAAAATTGAGGGGGGATATTTTTTTCCTTTTTTTTCTATAAAATTTTTCATTTTAAATGGGTTATTTCTAATTTATAAATAAAAGCAAAATAATAATGATATGATTTAAATAGGTAAATTGAAAATGTTTAAGTTCTTAGACCACATTCATTCTGTGTCAGAAACCTATGCTGTGTCAAATATTTAATCACAATCCAAATTCAGTGCTGTATCAAGCTTGAATGTTGTGTCCATACTTGCCCCAACTGTTCAGGGATCGACCTCTGCGGTCGTATCAAGCTGCGCCCAGCGGAGCATTTTATTTTAGTATATGGAAGGAATGAAACAGGTGAGAAATTTTAGTAGTTGCACTCTTGTTTTTTAGGACATGTAGGAGTAGATTTGTATAAGAGAAATATATTGTTGTTACAAAAGTCAAGTTTAAGTCAACAAACTTGCTTTCTCTATATTGTAGTCAAAATTAGTGGCTACAACAAATGATGAAGATGAGCATTGTAACTATACACTTCGCACGAGAAAGACAAATTCATCTACCTTTGATAAGGTAAGTTAGTCACTGTAATCATAACACATTTAAGAACAATATAACCAAATAAAAAAGGTTGAAAACTTCTTGCAGAAGAATTGTATCAATCCAGATAACTTCATATTCATGGAAATTAATATTATCAGACATATAACATTAGAAAATGAATGCGCTTATTTATCTGTATATCTTGAAATAATTCTCGCTTAAATTTAAAAAAAAAATATCTTCTCTCTTACAAACGATGTGTTATTTGGTCCAAGACAAACAGAAAGAACCCACGTGAGAAGCAGCATTCAACAGTTGAACACAAGATAAAAAAATACTATTTCAATTATTTAAAAAAAATAAATGTGGATAGTGTCCACATGTGGACACAGATGATGCCCCCGCTTGAATATCATATAGTTATAAAGGGACATAACTGAAGAACGGTAAAAAAGACGCTACCCAAATTTGAACTTGATCTGAGTTTTGTGGTAATAAGCATTGTGTGTAAGTCTCATAACATTTGGTTGAGGCTAACTTAAGTAGAGAACAGAAACTAAAAATTCAGCAATTTTTCTATTTGTAAACACGCATAACTCTAGAACGGTTGTGTATAAGTTTTATAACATTTGGTTGAGACAAACTAAAGTTAGAGAACGGAAATGAAAAAATCAGCAATTTTTATGTTTATAAAGGGACATAACTCAAGAATGGTAAAAGTGTCGCCACCGAATTTCGTACTTAATCTGTATTATGTAGTAATAAGCATTGTGTATAAGTTTCATAACATTTGGTTGAGGCAAACTAAAGTTGGAAAACGGAAACCAAAAATTTGTACTTGATCTTAGTTTTGTGGTAATGAATATTGTGTATAGGTTTCATAATGTTTGGTTGGGGCAAACTTAAGTTATAGAATGGAAACTAAAAATTTTGCAATCTTTTGATTTATAAAGGGGCATAACTTAATAATGGTAACTATTAAATTCAACTTGATCTGTGTTTTATCCGTGGAAGTCAAAATTAAACATTGCATTGTATAAAGCATTGATTGTAGTTGATTCAACTATAATCATGGACAAAGGAAGATAACTCCAATTTTAAAAATAACTTGATATTTAGAAGAAAATAAAAATTTTGCAATGTTTCACTTTATAAAGGGGCATAACTCTAGAACAGTTTAAGTGACGCCACCAAAATTCAAACTTGATCTGTGTTTTGTGGTAATAAGTATTGTATATAAGTTTCATAACATTTGGTTGAGGCAAACTTAAGTTAGAGAACGGAAACTAAAAATTTTGCAATTTTTCCATTTTTAAGGAGCATAACTCTAGAACGGTTTAAGTGACGCCACCAAAATTCAAACTTGATCTGTGTTTTGTGGCGATAAGCATTGTGTATTTATAAGTTTCATAACATTTGGTTGAGGCAAACTTAAGTAAAAGAACGGAAACCAATTTTGGGACGTACGTACGTGCGTACGTACAGACGGACAAGGGTTAAACTTAATGCCCCCACCGCTACGGCGTGGGCATAAAAAGCTCTATAACAACATGAACAATATGACCTCTCATATAAAACAAAAAGTAAGACCAGATGCTCCTGACTAGTCAGCATTACTTGATCCATTTATGGTACCTGTCATGTAGTGCAGCACCAAACACAACTTTTATTGCAAAACTATGGTTATCACAATACTATAATAAATACATGTACATGCAGCATAAGCTTTGACAAACATCTTACAACATTGTATAAAAAAGTACAAATGTAATATAATGAGAGTCACTTCATCTGTGTCCTGTTTGTATTTTAAAGTTTCTGTTTCACTTCAATGAAGTTGAAAAAGGAAGATTTCAGCATGCTGTCTCCTGAAAAAAAAGGAATGTTGGGATTGATTTTGGGGGTAATGGCCCTAACTTTTTCGGAAAAAGGGGCCAACATCAAGTAAATACTTTTCTAATACTTCTGTATATGAATTGCTTATTTATAGATCAATTTAATTGGGTTTAAATCAATACTTTATTCTTCTTTGGGGTTTTTATCAAAAATTGAATTCTTGGGATTCTTTGATAAGCCAAATGTAACTGTATATTCAGAATCTTAAGTATGGGCCCTGTTTCTAAATTGTTCCACATTAAGGCCCTCAAGGGTCTAAATAAAACTTTGTTTGATTTCATAAAAAATCAATTATTGGGGTTCTTTGATATGCCTATTATTCTTACCTCATATTTATATTTTTATACACTGCCAAAAAATTTTGGAGTCGTATATTGGTATCACTTTGTTATCTGCAGTGTCAGAAGACACCTAGTTTCCGGACAATAACTTTAGTTTAAGTGAATGGATCTCTATGAAATTAACCACAAAAGGAAGGTTGGGAATGATTTCGGGGGTTATGTTCCCAACTGTTTAGGAATTTAGGGCCTAAAAAGGGGTCCAAATAAGCATTTTTATACTCCCGTTTATGGGACATATTATGGTATACTGTTGTCCGTCTGTCCGTCCGTCCGTCGTCAACATGTCGGACTTTAATTCAAAAACGCTTTAACCAATATGCATGAAACTTTGGTGAAGTGTTTATATCTATTGACGTGAGCTCCCTTTTGTTTTTTATAAATTTGGGATTTACGTTTCAGAGTTTTGGGGTTTTATTCATTAAAAAAGGGGGGATTTTCCAGTTTTGGGACAATAACCCCAAAACAATTTCACCAATTTGCATGAAACTTTTGTGAATGTTTTATATCTATTGACGTGAGCTCCCTTTTGTTTTTTTATAAATTTCTGATTTACCGTTTCCGAGTTTTGGGGTTTTATTTAGGGATGTCAACGAGTACTCGAGTACTCGAGTATCGCTAGTTAGTACCGAGTATCGAATACCAAAACGATACTCGACTAATCAGTTTCCTGTTAGAATGTTGTTGCTTTCTTAAGCTTAAACAAAAATATTTTTATTGAGAGCGCCTCCTAGAAAATAAAATATTAATCAATATTAAAATATGTCTCGAATGTGTGCGTTTAATTGTCATTTTAAATTCCTCCGAACAGAGGTAGGCTATGAACAAGAGCACCTTTCCAATGCTTACACTTTTAGTCTTATAGTCATTCCCCCTCCCCCACCTCTGTACCGTCAGAGCAAATATTTTCATCAGCAGGAATGTTAAATACGTAACAAAGGCATCAATAAGTTCTAATCATTACCCCTTTGCTGACCATTAAATGTGTTTTTTTACGATTCCCAAATACTGTTGTTTGAGTAATCATTTTTCTAAAGATGTGTTTTAACATGATTAATTAATTGATTAGATTATTGCCAATTTACTTAATTGGTACAAGTAGTAAATGAGCTATTAATTATTTTATAAAATTCCTGGAACAATTATCTAGTCCTAGGTAATATTGTTGAGGGTTTTACGTTAAGAAAACGACAAACAATACATAAAATAGGTATGATTTTGTGTTTCCATTTTGTAGATGTTTTTCCGAGCGACTACTTGAGTATCGCTCGGTAAATCCAACGAGTACTCGATTAGTAAATCTTTATCGAGTTGACATCCCTAGTTTTATTCATTAAAAAAGGAGGGGATTTTCCAGTTTTCTGACAATAACTCAAAAACAATTTCACCAATTTGCAAGAAACTTTGACGACATGTTCATTTCTATCGACATGAACTCCCTTTTGATTTTTATAAATTTTAGACAATACGTTTCCGATTTATGGGGTTTTATTCATTACAAAAATGGGGATTTTCCAGTTTTCGGACAATAACTCAAAAGTTATGAAACTTTGGTAAATTGTTTATATCTATTTTTGTAAGCTCCCTTTTTATATTTATAAATTTTTGAATTTAGGTTTCCGAGTTATAAGATTTTATTTGTTTATAGTCTTGACAACAGATTTACTTAGCATTGCGCAACAGCACAGTGTTTTGCACAACAGCAAAAAATCTTTAATTAAATATCAATTCAATTCATATAACCAATTTCAAGTTCTTCGACTTCATTTATTCAGAAACCTATAATATGTCAAATATCTTATTACAATCCAAATTCAGACCTGTATCAAGCTTGAATATTGTGTCTATTTTTGCCCCAACTGTTCAGGGTTGGACCTCTGCGGGCGTATCCAGCTGCGCTCAGCGAAGCAGTTTATCCTAGTTTCCAGAAAATAACTTGTGTGTAAATGTATGGATTTTTCTGAATTTGTACCATAAGGTTCCATACCAAAAAAGGAAGGTTGGGATCGATTTTGGTGGTTATGGCCTTTTCTGTTTAGGAATTAGGGGTCAAAAACAATATTTGTATAAATTGTTTATTTCTTGACCAATTTCAATAGGGTTTTATTCTTGAATTTTTGGGGTTCTTTAATATGCTGAATCTAACCGTGTATAACGTTTTTGGATTTTGGGCCCTGTTTTTAAAGTGGTCCACATTGAGATCCAAAGGGTCCAAAACTAAACTTTGTTTGATTTCATTAAAAATTGAATTATTAGCGTTCTTTGATATACGAATCTATCCGTGTATTTAGATGTTTGATATTTGGTCCTGTTTTCAAACTGGGATACATTAAGGTCCGAAGGGTCCAAAATTAAACTTAGTTTGATTTTAACAAAAAATATTCTTGATTTCTTGGGGTTCTTTGATATGCTGAATCTATACATGTATTTAGATTTTTGATTATGGGCCCAGTTTTCAAGTTGGTCCAAATTTGGGTCCAAAATTAAACTTTGTGTGATATCAACAAAAATTGAATTATTGGGGTTCTTTGATATGACGAATCTATTCGTGTATATAGATTTTTAATTTTTGGTCCCGTTTTCAAATTGGTCTTCATTAAGATCCAAAGGGTACAAAATTAAACTTAGTTTGATTTTAACAAAAATTTAATTCTTTGGGTTCTTTGATATGCTGAATCAAAACATGTATTTAAATTTTTGATTATGGGCCCAGTTTTCAAGTTGGTCCAAATCGGGGTCCAAAATAAAACTTTGTTTGATTTCAACAAAAATTTAATTATTGTGGTTCTTTGATATGCTGAATCTAACTGTGTTTGGATTTTGGGCCCTGTTGTCAAATTAGTTAACATTGAGGTCAAAAGGGTCCAAAATTACACTTTTCTTTTATTAAAAGATAAACTTTGTTTGATTTCTGACATCAAAAATATAATTAATGTTAGTCTTTTATTTGATATGCTGAATTCTAACCATGTATATTAAGAAATTGTTGAACATCCTTACATATGATATTGTTTAGTTCTTTTTGAATGACAACTGTTACCTGCATGATTTTCTATTTATAGAATTTATACACATATTCACAAGATAGCGAGGGGCAAGTTAGTACAGTGTGCAGCAGTCAAGATTCAAGTTGGAGCCAAGGGGACGAAGCATTGCCTCTTAAAGAAATCCAAATTGCTGATATCAACAAGGCTATTTATGTTCTAGGTCAAGGTTGTATCAGTCCACTTAGATCAAAGCTGAACACAAATATAGATAAAGCAAAAGACAGAACCATCCGATACTACAAAAGAAAGGCTGAGGAAACATCTGAAGCTCTATATAATGCTATTGCACCTAAACAAGGAACTAAACTAAGGAGAATTTCTGATCAGGTTCCAGTAACGAAAGGTGATGATGACCTTCTTCATGTTGTTTCCCAGATGTGCAAAAGTATAAAGGATGCAGATGTAAAGTGTCAACTTTTGTCTCTTGTTGTGAACCAGTTTTCAAAGACTGATTTGTTGACATGGATTCCTGAGATCACAAAATATCAAATAGATAAAGCCAGAAAACATGCATTTGTTAATGGTCCTGGCTCATGTATACAATCTTCAAAGACACAACAACATAGAAAGAGAATAAACTATGTCATGTTACAGCATGCTGTAGAATTCTTCAGTGACCCATCTTTCAACCAAATATCTTCTTACACTACCCATGACCTAAAATTAGACTCGGGAGATATTCTTGTTATCCCAGATGTTGTTAGAACAGTCATCCATTCAAACTTGATTAAACTGTATAAACTCTACTGTGCCGACAATGATTTCAATCCTCTAAGTGACTCAACACTGTATCAAGTTTTGAATGCATGTGAAGCATCCAAAAGGAAGTGCCTTAAAGGTTTAGACAACATTGCTGTAGATGGCACCACAGCAATTGACAACATTTTGTCCTTAATTTCCAAGCTGAACAAAACAGAGGACTGGAAGAGTACATTTAAGAGCAACATTTTAAATAGTAGACTGTACTTAAAAACAGAATACAAACTGCATATAAAAAGAGAAGATGAATGTGCCTTCCATTGCCTGCAGTATTCATTAAGTGATCCAAAAGTTGGTGCCCTTAGTGTTGGATGTGAACATGCATCAAAAGGCATGCGACAGATGTCTGCTGCTTGGAGATATTGTTGAAGAAGTTCGGTTGGCCATTTTATCCAGCTGTCCAGAGGATCAAAAAGCTTTCCTCCAAGACCTGGAAATATCAACAAGGCAGATTGAGGACTGGAGATCTCACATCTTGAGAACAATCTACCAAGATGATGCCAGGTTTGATCTTCTGAACAGCATACAAGGCAATGAAGTAATTATTATCATGGATTGGGCAATGAAATACCTTCCACAGATGTTTAGGGAAAGAATGAAAGATTTCTTTGGTCAAAAAGGGATGCACTGGCATGTGTGTGTTGCCATTTTTAAAGATGAAGACAACAGTTTAAAGGTAAGAGTAATATTATTTAAATGATAATCCTATTTACCATTATAATGAACCTAAATGTCATCAAACATGGCAGCCATTATTACTGAAAATTTAAAATATATATATGCAACAAAAATCTTGAAAAACTCTGTAAACAAAAATATTACATTACAAAAATTATTATTGACCAAACAGCTAAAAGTGGCCCATTGATGAGGAAAAACTACAAGTAATGCAAAAAAAAAAAAAATCTTTAAAAAAACAATTGTTACTGAATTTCATGGAAATAATTCACCAAGCTTGGCCACCAAAATTCCTTAAAGGTGTAATACCACCATTGATTTTTCCCTATTAGTCTTTCTTAAATTTGCACTTTTCAAAAAATTGTGCAGAATTTATCTTTGTTTCAAATAAAGAAATACTTGGCATGAATAAAGTTTTATCATGTCCAGTACTACAGAAAAAATTTCACATAACATTTTATTGCATATAAGAAAATAACCATCACTGGAAGTTAACCAATCAAATTTTCCCCCTTTTTAAACCTGTGTACTAGATTTAGTAACCATGTAACCTCAAGTTTCCAAAATATTTTATAGAAACCCCAAATAAAAAAATAATGGTGCTTTGAAATACCCAAGATATATGTTTAAGACCCAGAAATGTTTTACTGCAATGAAATGTAGGATCAATTACCTACAACTGTCAAATTCAAGGGAATATTTTTTCCGACCTATTTTCGTATGCAACCGGATGTGACGTACTATGATTTGGTGGCATTACACCTAAACAAACATTTTGTTCCAAAATGATTGGACAGTAACATGATGGCTGCATGGAACATAGTTAGGGAACCAACAAACCCTATGGGAAATTTTTTTAAGTACACATGTATGCTTTCACCAATCTGAACCAAACTTGATAAGAATGATATTTGAAAATTCAATAAGTTTGTCAGTTACTTCGTTATCAAGCATGGTTAGGTCTGCAATTTCCCTTGAGTACTCTGGATTCCTAAAACATTGGCATTGGTGACCAATAGATAAATAAATCCATTCCCCATTTCCATTCTCAATTTTATTTATATTAAATGAGAAGACCTCATTTTGCGTGTTGCTTCTCTTTTTTCCACAATAAATTAATTATCAACCATCCGTGTCCTAACGGTACCATGCACAGTCGCATTTGTCATTCTCTTTTATGATTATTCAGTTTCGGTTATTTTGAGAGAAAAACGAAAATAAGGCGTCCAGATATTGTTTCCGTCATTGGAAAGATTTTTAAGTCATAGACAAGACTTCCGTTATATTTAGGACTGTGAAAACAACAAATAGTTTTGATAGATACTTGGGAACAGGACAATTATTTTTGCGTTACATATTCTATAAATAGAGTGTATTTGCTATTTACTGTTGGTGACACAGTGGAAAGTAAACTTTGAAATGATAGTAAATAGGAAATACACTTTATTTATAGTATATGTATGTTCATAGTAACAGAAGAATTGAATAATAGAAAACAAAAAATTACGGATTTTGGAAAAAGGAGGATGAAAGAAAAAAATTGTAATGTCAGCCTACAGAAGTTTTACATACTTTAAACCACGGTCTAAATTACAGCTATTTCGCAGGTGTGTTTTAGTTTTATTTATTTGTAGAAAGTCATATTAAACACCATCCATACTTTGACGGTATACAATAAGAACTGATTTTTATTTTAGCACAAGACCTTTACTTATATAATGGACCATGTGAAGCAGAACTTCTTCGGTGTTTTATCCCTGTTGGAGCACACACTATCTTCTATTAAGAAACCGTTACCACAAATCACAGAGGCATACCTTAGATCTAACAACGCTGGTTGTTACCATTGTGGTCAGCTGTGGCTAGCAATACCAAGTTTGTCAGAATGAACAGGTAATATTATATCACTTTCACCGAAATACAAATATGGAGTTTTTTAGGATTTTGTTTTGGTACCATGCCCAACATAATAGGAGAGGGAGGGCATAGAAATAACAGTGAGTTATGTCCCTTGGAAATGTTAATGACATAAATTCCTTTGTAAGGGCTCCCACATATACCATAATTGCTAGGTTTTTATAAAACTTGTATCAAACATTGTCAAATGCTTATTCAAGAATGAGCAATTTCTGGGAAAAATTATTACAAATAGTTCAAGGTAATATTCTTTACAAAACACACAAATGTCATTATTCACCTCAAAAGCTAACAAAACCTTTAAACAGACTTATTAAGAAGGGATATGGTTATGATACTGTTGTCAGGTCATTAAAGATTGCATATTTTGGCTTTAATATTGATTCACTTATAGGGTCTTTGCATCGGAATTAAACACATTTATTCTAAAACCAGTTGTTGGCATGACACGGGTTATGTTCTTCTCATATATTTTATGACGGTTTAATACTAAACCCCTAACAGGAGGGATTGTGCCCGATATTCATATGATGAAGACATAATCTTGTCATAATGTCAGTAACTGCTAGTAGTCTGTTGTTATTTATGTATTATTGTCATTTTGTTCATTTTCTTTTGTTTCCTATTCTGACATCGGACTCGAACTTCTCTTATACTGAGTTTTACTTTGCGTACTGTTGTGCGTTTGTTTTTTCTACATTGGCTAGAGGTAAAGGAGGAGGGTTGAGATCTCAAAAAACATGTTTAACCCGCCGCATTTTTGCGCCTGTCTAATGTCAGGAGCCTCTGGCCTTTGTTAGTCTTGTATCATTTTTAATTTTAGTTTCCTGTGTGTAATTTGGAGTTTAGTATGACGTCCATTATCACTGAACTAGTATATATAATTTGTTTAGGAGCCAGCTGAAGGACGCCTCCGGGTGCGGAATTTTCTCGCTGCATTGAAGACCTTGGTGGCCTTCAGCTGTTGTCTGCTCTATGGTCGGGTTGTTGTCTCTTTGACATATTCCCCATTTATTCTAAATTTTATACATGTATATCCTGCTCCACATTTGTAAATTTTAATCCATCTCCAACATAAAGATAAATTAAGGAACAAGTGAAATGTACTGTAGGATAATATACCCTTTTAAAGGAATTTTAAAATTGGTGTATTTGCTGGACCAATTCACTAACATTTAAAGATGAATGCGAGGAAAAAATAAATATTTGAACTTCAAGCCAGTTTGTGTTAGTATCACCAAGATGTTGTTCACACTCGTTACAAAAAGTAAGTTTGTCAGGGTCATCTATCTAAAAAAAAAAGAAATAAGGTCAAAAGACACTACCATAAGCCCTCTCGACCAATCATATTATCTTATTCCTTAATATGATAATCATATAAGAATTATTGCAATATATATGTTTACTCTCATCAATGTTTGTAGGTTGTATCTTTATAAATAAAAAAAAAAAAAAGCATTATTTATTTTTTTAGGGATACAAATCAAAAGTTATGATTATAGTGAGGCCCAGAGTGGCAAAAGCTACTGTGATCCTAAAATTGCCCATATGAGACAAAAAATGAGAATTTTCTCTGCAGAAGGCCATAACATCACTACAGCTATGCAGATGAAAGAAGCGATTGATAGTGGAGCTGGAGTTAAAGGAGTTTATGCATCAGTTGTTGATGTTGATACAAGAAAGCATCAGCTTAAAACACATTCTTGGAAAGGTGTAAGCTTTATCATGAATGTAGATTACACAAGTTCTGGAATAAAAACATGGAAAGCATACAGAATAGGAGATGGTTGCTTTATCGAGAACAACAAGGTAAAGCAAATGTTTCGCGGTGAACAACCAGCTACTTGTTTACAGATCATCAGTGATGACTTTCAAGATCATGAGTCATCAGGGCATATCAATCTAAAACAAGGAACATCAGCAGAAATTCATGAACAACATGTATCATCCAACCAAACTGCCTTTGCAAATGAACAAAGTTCCTCATCATCAAACCAATCAATAGTCATAGAACAACAAATTCCTCAATCATCAAATTGTACTACAGTCTTAGAAGAATTGGACACTTCCTTACAAGACCATGAAGGCAATAATGTTGACAACGTATTCTATTGCCCAGAGTATGGCTGCACTAAGGCTTATCAGTCATTTGAAAAAATGCAAGATCACATTCTCATTGGAAAACACTCAAAACAACTATTAAATGACTCAACTTATGACAGAGCTAAAAAGATATGGGCTGAAAAATGTGAAAATCTTCATGCTTCTACTCATGTCACTATTGAATCGGATCCTGGAACCTCTAGCAGCAACAATTTCAATATACCTGCAATGGGTTGGGCATTAAAGAAAGAGAAAAAGTATGTCAGATTTTCACAGAATGTGAAATCATATCTTACAGAATTATTTAAGATTGGAGAGGCTAGTGGCAAGAAAGAAAATCCAGCAGCTGTTGCTATGAACATGCGTAACATGTCAGATAATGGAAGACGAAATTTTTCCCCCAATGAATGGTTACAACCTAGCCAAATTGCATCATTTTTTTTCAAGACTTGCTATAAATGCAGGAAACACAATAATGTGTATACACAGCTGTGATTTAGATGCTGGTGACAGTGATTTATTGGCCGTGCTGAATGAATTAGAGAATCCAGAAATCCATGAAAAATTACATTTATAGTCAATCACTCTATTTGTCTGTTTGTAACTAAATCTTGAAGACATTTTATTTCACTATGACAAAATTTCAATGTGAGGGATATCACTCGTTTGGCTTTCATTGTTTGTACTTCAGTCGTCTGAACATAAAGTTTTGTAAGAAAGTTTATTGAAAGGTCATCTATAAAATTCACATGTTTTTATGCCCCACCTGTGATAAACACATTGGTTTTCTCACTCTTACTTTATATAAGTTAATTGATCTCTATGAAATTTTACCATAAGGTTAAATACCACAAAAGGAAGGTTGGGATTGATTTTGGGGGTTATGGTACCAACAGTTAAGGAATTAGGGGTCAAAAATAACTTCCAGACATAACTTGTGTATTAGTATATGGATCTCTCTGACATTGTACTACAAGGTTCCATATCACAAAGGAAAAGCTGGGTTTGGGTTTGTGGGTAATTGCCCTAAACGTTTAGGAATTAGGGGCAAAAAAAACAAGCATTTTTCTAGTTTCCCGACAATAACTTGTGTTCAAGTGTATGGATCTCTCTGAAATTGTACTGCAAGGTACCATACCACAAAGGGAAGGCTGGGATTGAGTTTGGAGGTGATGAATCATAAGGGGGTTCAAAAAATTTGGGGGGGATTTTTTTTTCCTTTTTTTTCTTTAAAATTTTCCATTTTAAATTGGTGATTTCTGATTAATATATAAAAGCAAATAATGATGATATGGTTTGAATAGGTAAATTAATTTTTTTTAAGTTCTTATACCACATTCATTCTGTGTCAGAAATATATGCTGTGTCAAATATTTAATAACAATCCAAATTCAGTGCTGTATCAAGCTTGAATGTTGTGTCCATACTTGCCCCAACTGTTCAGGGTTCGACCTTTGCAGTAGTATCAAGCTGTGCCCAGCGGAGCATTTTATTTCCAATTTTATTTTTCCTCTAAAGCTATAGATACATATATATATAGTAGCTTGATGCAAGGTGTAGTTAGATTAAATAAATTAGAAGGATGAAAACTACACACCCTCAAGATATCATAACAATCTGACTATCTTTTGGATTATGGCATATGAAATGTGAATTTTTTAAAAAGTGATTTTTGAAATTTTTTGCCTCCAGTTTGAGCTATTTAGGCTGTGGGCCTCTAGTTTTTAATCTTTTAAATACTCACACCCATGTAGACAACTGATTGTTTATGTTGCCATTAACTTATAATTCTAACCAAGTTCATGTTATTTTGCTGGTCTTCATTGTATGAAGCATTGTATTGTAAAATAGCAAAAAAAGGGTTCCGATGATCCCATTTTTTCTGAAATTTTAGCAGTTAGGCAATTTGTTGAAGGTCATTATATTAAGGTCAAGGTCATCAAATGTTGAAAACAATTAACAGAATTGATAACTGAAGTATTTGATTGAAAAATGTTTTGATTCAGTTTACTTAAGTAAATATTTTTTTTAATTGTCAATTTCAAGGGTCAAAATGGTTATTTGTTGTGCCGTGAAATTTGAAGTTATTTTAATAAACTTTTTTCCGGCAAAAAATAAAAAAACACGATTTTTTTTTCATCAAAATATTCAAAAACAGCATTGTTTTTAATATCAATAAATGAAATGTTCCTGTGAATGTGTTTTTTTTTAAAACCATTGTTCAAAAATGTCAAAAAACAGCCTTTATGGACAATTTCGCTTTCTCTGATTATATGTTCAACAGAAAACATTAGTGTTAACATAGAAAGTAAGATAGGAGATGTTCATGTATAGAAATGCATTCTTAAATGTAACTTTTTATCATATACTTTAGTTGTTTTTGCCATTTCTTACCTGGATGTGATTATTTTGCATTCAAAATATAGTCAAATTAGTGAATTTTGATGTTTTCAATGACCTTTCAAGCAGTATTACCTTATCTTGCGTTATCATGGAAACGGTAAAAAATTAAAAAGATTTGAACAATGAAAAATTATAATATGGGTAAGGTGTTATAAAAAGAGAACTTAAGATGCAATTTTGTGATATCAATGTACCATGCTCTACCTGACTCTTAGCTGGAACAGTACTTAAATATTCATATTCTAATTTTTTATCTAAAGCATTGGTTAATCAAAGAATAGTTTCTTCATGTTATTGGCTGAAAGTAACTTAAAAAAAGATTTTTGAATCTGAAAATCTTAAACTTTTTCTTAACATTTTTATAACTCCATTCTTATTTTGTCCACAAAGAATTTGTGTATGAAGTATTTTTCTGAAATCAATGTGTTTTTGATTAACCAATCTGTTTTGCAGCTATGCCAGAAGGATATAACAGGACATATTTTCGGAAAGAGAAACGAACATGCCCATATTGCATGCCAGAAATGCTGCAATGATTCTAATATCTGTAATAACGATCGTTCATGTGGAAATGTAATAACAAGTATGTAGCTAAGTTACACCACTTTATATTTATATGAATTAAACATATTATAAAGTATGTTTATCACAGTCTGTTTCATTAAAAAAAAACAGTTATAAATTATGAATAGTATTTTTTAAGATAAAACACGTAATGAGAATTTGTTTTTCAATTTCAGGACAGCAATGTCTATCCTGTGATCATGTGAACAATCCGAACATCTGTAATTACACAATGACATGTGATAAAGGAGAAGTAATCTTTAAGTTTGACATTCTTCTTTTACTTAGGAATCAAAGCCAGGTTCTAATTGCAATAGAACATATGCTGCAAGTGATTGACGTCACAATTGAAATTTCGAACAACACGTACGCTCCGTATAAAGATATCAATACTTACACAGCATACACATGTTAAAATGAGCATAGAACACGGCACGACATTACCATTTTTAACAGATTTCAACTTCGCTAAAACAGCTTCGACTATAGACAAAAGCAAATCACTTTACCTATTGATTTGGTTCGGAAGTGTACAGCAACAGACCTCATGTCATTTCAAAATATATATATATATATGAATGGGAATAAATGAATGAAATCTCTGAATAGCTCTGCAATCACAAACGGTGTATCAACGGAGACGTCGGGTCATGCAACTTAAACATGTCGGTGTTGTGGGGTGATATAGGTAGCGTTTACAATTTTTACATAACAAATGTGCTTTGTTAGTAACTGACGGTATAATATTGTTTATATATAAATCTTCCTATATCTATCATCATAAATACCAGGATTGAAATTTCATATTTGCGCCAGACGCGCTTTTCGTCTACAAAAGACTCATCAGTGACGCTCGAATCAAAAAATGTTATAAAGGCCGAATAAAGTACGGAGTTGAAGAGCATTGCGGACCTAACATTCCTAAAAGTATTATATAAATACAATATTTAAATACAGAATTTCGATTTTTGCAGGTGTGTTTCCTCCATAAATATTTGACCGAAACTCAACATGTAAAATATGACCTTGGATGTAAGCACTCATCGGTATGTAACACTGAATAAGGACAAACAATGCCATGCTACATTGTAGCAATACAACATTTGTATAATAAACTCGAATTTTTGAGTTTGAAGTAATTTTGAGATCATCTTCATGATTGCAAGTTATTTTATTTGAATATGAGTTTTAAAATAATTAGAAGAAAAAACTACCATCCAACAATCAAATGTTGAGCCCATTTTCGAACATTGCTCTTGTCTCAACTTTAAATGCATTTCAGAAATCAGAAGATTTTAATATCATCTTCACCAGTGACCTTTAATTATTTGCTTTCGTATGTTGTCAAAACATTCGAACTCTTTTTTCCTTAATTAGTATATTCAAACACTTGTTTTGTTAACATGACATATCAAATTTTTCTGAACTGTTCCTTATTTTATAAATGTCTATGTCGTATGTGTATTCGTGTTTTACTCAATTTCTGTAAATTATGATATGTTCATCGATTCCCTATTTCTAAATTAATCATTAATTTCTGTTCTTTCTATTTAAATGTAGTTATGTCTTCATGGTTCAAACACAAATATTTTGGGAAAACGAACATCTTCTGGCAGACATTTGATATGTGAAAGATGTTGTGATGGAACAGAGCTTTGTAACCTTGACCTCCAATGTACACACCAGCAGCGTAAGTATTTTTTCTGATTCACAAACAAACACATAAAAATCACATAGCATTGTTAAACAAACATATGCATTTTGTTTAAATTTACACTTGAAATTTATAATGGTATGAATTAAAAGAAGAAATGGCATTTACCTTGTATTTTTGGCTTTGAATTCATCGATTTGATTTGATTTTTGGTGTTTTAACGCCCCTTTTAAGCACCGCTTTTGGGCTATTTCGTGGCGGCCAGTTTTTATTGGTGGAGGAAGCCGGCGCGCCCGGAGAAAACCACCGACCTTCGAAAGGAAAACTGACAATCCTAGTCAATTAAGATTGGAGTCGAGTGCACCCGCACGAGCGGGGTTCGAACTCACAACCTCAGCGTTGACTGGCTAGTGATTACAGTAGTAACTACTTAGACCACTCGGCCACCGCGGCCCCTTGAATTCATCGATAGGTGAATCATATGACTGTATGATAAAGTAAAGCATATAATAGATGTCTGAAAATTTTTACCAAAGCATGGAATATAGTAATGTTTATGATTTTTACAATTTTTTTAATATAGAAAAGACGATGAATGCGTCATGTAGATCAACGAATGAATGTGGCAGCAACCTCGTATGTTCGATTGAACAATGTCGATGTGCTTCAAAAGATGATTTTTGGGACAATAAATCCAGCATTAAAAGTAAGTTCGTTTAAAAAATGAAAACAACGCATCATAA